TTTCAAAGCAAACTAACAATAACAAGAGATCGAAATCAGTATTTTGTGTAACCACCACGCTCCGCAATAAGTGCTGCTACACGACGTGGCATGGAGTCAAGCAAACTTTGATTGTCTGTCTGAAGAAGAGAATTCCATACTGCTTGTATGCGTACCCAAAGTTCATCTGTAGAAGCAACAGGACGAGGATTACGAGCAAGACGCCGACCAACGAAATCCCACACATGTTCAATCGGCGACATATCCGGGGAATACGCTGGCCAAGGAAGAAGTTGTACCTGTCGCGATACAAGGAAGGATTGAATAGTCCTAGCAATATGAGGGGGCGGGCATTGTCCTGTTGAAATACAGCACCTGGCAAGGCTTGAAGGAAGGGAATAGTTTGGGGCTGTAGAACTTCACTGATGTACCGGATGCTGTTCAGATTATCCACAATTGGTAGCAATTGAGATCGTCCATTCTTTGCTATGCATGGTACCACAAATTGAAGCGAGATTCGTCAGAAAACACGACACGCTGCCAATCAGCAAGCCAGTCCTTATGCTGGTTGGCCCTTTGCAGCCGCAGGCTGCGAAGGTTTCGCGTGAGGGGGATCCTGTGTAAAAGAGTCCTTGCGCGCAGTCCATACTGCAGACGTCTACGAATTGATAAAGCACACAACTTGAAATGTATTACAACTGATGGAGGCAAAAGCATGAGTGGGAAAGATAAAGGAGTGGTCGCTCTTGTGTCAAAGGCTGTAGAAAATGACGGTGGTTCAAAACTATTAGTCTTACATTGTATCATTCATCAACAGTCTTTGTGCGGAAAATGTTTGGGTATGTCTGAAGTTCTGAAACCAGTCATATCAACTTTTAATTTTATCAGATCTTTTGGGCTGAATCACCGACAATTTATTGCAGAGATTGGAGAAAATGACTTACCTTATCATACTGCCGTACGTTGGCTTAGTTGTGGGAAAGTCCTTCAGCGCTTTTTTGAACTTCCAGCAGTGATCGAAATTTTTTTGAATGAAAAGCATCGCCCTTTTACTGAATTGCAAAACAACGCATGGCTGTGGAAGTTAGCATTCTATGTTGATTTGACAAAACATGTGAACGAACTGAATTTGAGATTGCAAGGAGAAAACCAGCATCTTCCTGATTTATACACTAATATCAAATCATTCCGGAAGAAATTGATACTGTTTCAATCACAACTACGAAGTAAATGTTTTTCACATTTTAAAACATGTGAAATATTCAGCCACACCACTGAGACTTCCTATCGATTTTGCAATCGAAAGTTTGAGTGCTTTGAAAATAAATTTTGATACTCGTTTCACGGACTTTGATGCCATTGCGAATCAAATTAAGATTTTTCAGAATCCTTTTGACATTGAAACCCAAGCCTCGGAACTTCAAATGGAAATGATTGTTCTACAGTGCAGTGATTAATTAAGAACAAATATCAAAACTCATCTTTGTTGGAATTTTATAAGAGTCTTCCACTGACACAATTTGATAATTTGCTCGTGGGCTGTTTTCTGTTTTTGGTACTACTTATTTGTGTGAGAAGACATTCTCCAAAATGAAGTACACAAAAAATGTTTACAGATCTAAACTAACTGATGAGCATCTTAAATCTCTTTTAATAATTGGTACAAGTAAAATAAGTCCACAACTACAAACTATTGTCAGTGGAAAATCTCAATTACATAAATCTCATTAGTATTTCATATGTCATTATGCTTGTTATAAGTTATGTTTTTATTCAAAATGTATAAAATGTTAGTTGGATTCATTTCAATAATTTGTTAGTTATTATAAACTGAAGTTAAATTTTTTGCATATTATACATGTCTTTACTCATTACAATTCTGTGTTTCTTTATCCAACTTATCACAAAAACAATACTAATAAGCCTACAACAATGTTATGAGTAGTTAGCCCATGACCATATCAATAATTATTCAACATAGAATTAGAACACTTCAGTAAACTAAATTTAATTTGCTATAAAAAATATGTTCTCTAAAAGGAGTTTTCAAGTATGCTAGCTCTCCGCGGGCCGGATGTGGCCCTCGGGCCGTAGTTTGGAGACCCCTGGTCTAGAGGGAGCCGTACGGTCCGTTAGCGCAACGCCGAACATGTGTCTATCATCGCGAGCTGACGTGACACTTCGGGGTCCATTCCCGGATTCCCGAGTTGTCCGACACTCGTCCATCCACTGCTTTCAAACACGCATCACTGTGCTGCTGTTACGCCACACGAGCGGCTACTGCACGATGAGATAATCCAGCTTCTCGAAGGCCGATGATCCTCCCCCGTTTAAACTCCGTTAGTTGTTGAAATCTCGCTCTCTTTTGTCGCATAAGCATAAGTAATGACTAAGCTAACGTTTACCACTAGCAGATAACCACACTAACAGCCGTCTATTTATTCGGATCCAGCCGTTCAGAGGGCGCTGCTCAGCATACGCTACGGGTCTGAACTTCTAATCATTTGCATATCATGCTCTACTTTGCATTTCCTGAAAATTTCAGCTCACTCGCGTAAGTCCTTCATGGTGTTGCAATTTTCACAAACATGAGTTTATTATTTATCAAATTTGATTCATCTCTAAAAAAAATTTTTTTCAATAGTCAGGAGAACAGAATAATTGGACAAGTGGAAAATAATAATTTCCTACAATAACTAGTACCAACATATTTCTTCAGACACTTTTTCCACGAGGAGCCAACTCCTCCCCAATGCAACACCTGCAAACTTTTACTCACTATTCATCATGTTTTAATCATCTGTCCATGTTTTAACCATCATCGTCTAACCTTTTTTGGTAGTTCTATTTTAACTCTGCGGGANTATTTTTCTTTTCAAATTTGGAAATATCTTGCAGTTTCATTGGAAACTCAAGGCAGGAAAAGTAAAGTTCATCAGCAAAAGTTGCAAGTTTTTCCACTGCATACGCTTTATTGGTCTGTGGGTGCAAGGCGGCAAGGACTGCATACATGAAGCATTTATTATCGTTATTTTTAATATTAATTACGGCCTTTTTCCTTTGAATAAAATCTGGTAGTTCAATAAATGTTGATCCGTTTAACGGATTATATTTATTGACTCTTATTTCTAAATACATAATTTTTGACAGAGTCCAGCCGCTATCTTTTTCTTCAAATTCAGAAGATTCAGCTAAAAGTTCATCTTTTTTGCAATCGTACACTTCGTTTAAATTGGAAGAAGATAAAATTATACAGTTTCTAGTTTTAAAATTTTTTTCATCTGTGATAACACCACCACTAGAGGCTTTATCATATAAGCAAATGAGTTGAATATTTACCTTCGAATAATTTTTAGCCAATTCATTTGAAATCAACTCTACAAAGTTCTTTCTATTTGATTCCAAATATTCTTCTATGTCAGTGAAATTTTCGTTATTATCGAAACAAACAGTTTTTAGTCTTCCACCAAATGCTTCAATCAATCCTTTAATAGTTGTAACATTTTCAGATGTCGATGGCTCATTCAATGAAACAATAGAAGGTCGCTTAGATTCTGCTCTGACAGGGCTGGCTTTTCTTTTCTTTGATATGGAGTGTACATCCAAATGCCTCTTTAATGTATCGCTCTTATTGAATGTTTTTTTGCAGGTCGAACATTCAAATGCATTATTGCCATGCTTAGTGACGAAGAAGGTTGCTTTTAATCGTAAAAGAAACATTGCATTCATCACAATGATGATTATTCATTTTTATATATATTAAATGTAATAGTTAAAATTAACGAGCTTATTCGACTCACTTAAAATGGCTGTACATACTATCACAACAACTGAAGCTACATTTGTGAAAATATTCAAACTTCTTTGAGTTATACCAGTTTGAACCCTGTTCGAGGAATGACGTGTTAAACTGTAAAGGGGGGTATGCATTTCCACAAGATTCTGCAGGTAGAAGTAAGCTATTTCTTACAATAGGATGTTATGAATCAGCTAGTAGTGATAACAGAACCACATTGCTTCCTCTACCACACCCAACGCATCCTTCCTCGACGTCCAAGTGTATGAAATGTAGATTTAAAATTTATTAAATAAGATTTAATTTATTCAGTGCTTGTATCAAAATAACACCATGATTATCAATTTTTCAATAAATACTTGATATTATTCATATGTTGTGGTGGTTGAAATTTTTTAAGTTCCACTTAATTCAATTAAGAATGAAATATAAAAGACAAAATTTCACAAGCACTTTCAAAGTAAAATCTTCTAGCAAAACAGAGGAAGCTGACAAATAGGAATTATATATAAGCAATTTAAAATTAATATTTAAAGACTTAGTGTAGAAAAGAAAGGAGTATATTTAAAAAAAAAATTATATCTAGAAATATTTTTACANAAAATCTTCTAGCAAAACAGAGGAAGCTGACAAATAGGAATTATATATAAGCAATTTAAAATTAATATTTAAAGACTTAGTGTAGGAAAGAAAGGAGTATATTTAAAAAAAAATTATATCTAGAAATATTTTTACAAATACAACAAAACGTACTAGTTTGCTTTTAGTGAGCTAAACTTGTCTCTTTCTTGTATTTTATTAGAATTTCATTAAACACAAATGCACGAAGAAAATAAATTATTGGAGAAAAATGTAGCAAATATAAAAAAACTGAATAATAATTTTTACTAACAGGATTTTAAGTAAGTAATCACAAAGTAGAAGTACAAAGAAACATATACTAGATAAATTACAATTAAAATGAATATACTGAATGCAAATGAGCGTGCAGCGTCATATTATAGTGCATGAGAATGCAGACGGATCAGCTAGAAAATCTGTTCTTAAATATCTTGACACCATCCATAATTCCGGCATACGTATAGCAACAGGAGCATTTCGCACATCACCCATAAAAAGTCTAAACGTTTTATATCATGAACCAACTCTTGCTGAGCGACGCAATAAGTTAACATTGAGATACTATTTTCATGTCAAAAGCTGTCATATACATTCCATGTTTTGAAATGTTACAACTCCATTTTGTGAAAGATTATTTAGTAACAGACCCTCTGCAATACCGACTTTTGGTTTGAGAGTAAGAAAGCTCTTATCTGACCTAAACCTAGAAGACTTTAATATTTTACCTGCGAGCGAATTAAGACCTCCTTGGGACGTCATTTCTCTCCAAACTATTGATATTTTTAACAATCTGACAAAAGCACAAACTGCTGCTGACATTTACTTACAGCTTTTTAATTCACACCAAGAACAATATAGTAATTTTAATTCAATTTTTACAGATGGCTCTAAAGGCCTTGACCATGTTGCAAGCGCAGTTGTTACCCCTATCTCCACAATATCTGAAAAATTACATTCAAAATGCTCCGTATTTACATCTGAATGCCATGCGGTTTATCTGGCTCTTCAATTTATTTATTCTCAAAGGTTGAAAAAATGGATAATATATTCAGATTCAAAAAGTGTTATAGTTGCCTTACAAAATAAAGAACTGAATACACATTCTATTATAAATAATATTTTAAACTTATACAGCAATTTACTCCTAAAAGAATATGCCATAATTTTCTGTTGGGTACCAGGCCATGCTGGCATTTCGGGTAATGAAGCAGCAGATAAAGTGGCTAAGTCAACAAACAATGTAACAAACAACCCCCTTACCTACACAGATATCAAAAATGCAATTGACAATGAACAGTATTTACACTGGCAAAATGATTGGGAAAATGAAATAAATAATAAATTGCACGACATTAAACCTTCTATTAAATCTTATAAAGGTCTAAACATTAGTCGAAAGCAGGAAGTAATATTAAATCGCCTGCGCATTGGTCACTCTCGAGTAACCCATAAACATCTTTTATTAAACGAAACTGCACCCTAATGTTCTCATTGTGGAGAAGAGCTCACTATTAGACATATTTTAACAAAGTGTAACGAACTTATCTATTCCAGTACTGTTTGCACAAAGTAGAACAGTTAACCGCTGTTTTGATTTTTTACCGCCTTTACAATTTTCTCCCTTAAATGCCATTGTTTTATCTGGCATGAGCTGATAAAATAAGCCTGTTTCATCAGCATTGTACACGTTTTCTGGAGAATAAGTTTTTTCAATAGTCTCTTTTTCTCTTTGCTTCCAGGATGCAACATCATTGACTGGAGCTGACTTTTCTTCACCTGAGATGGTTTTAAATACAATACCATGACGTTTTCGAAATGATGTAATCCACCCATTGCTGGCTTTAATCTCGTTGTTGCCTAGCAAAGACGCAAATGTTCTTGCTTTTTCTGCAATCATTGGACCACTAATTGCCACATTTTGTTGTCTCATTTCGTGGAACCATCTTAGGGTAGCTTTGTCTACATCCTCATTAACTGCATCTTTAAATCTTTTCCTTTTACTATCAATTTTGCTTCCTTCCACAGCATCTTCGATATCTCTTCTTTTCTTCAAAAAAGTAGCTATTGTAGATTGTGAAATCTCATATTTTTAGCAGCGTCAACTTGCTTCAATCCTTGATCAATTTCCGATGTGATATTTAATTTTTCTTCAAAAGATAATGCTTTACGCCGAGCCCATCACTTCAAAATTAAAATTAACTTTATTGCAAGGAAAACATGTCAGTCCGTAGTGAGTAACGATAAGGACTTACTTATGAATGAGAAGATTTGAAAGTGACCATTCTGAAAAAAGAGCGCCCCCTTGCAACTTGTCTCCTTTCCACAGCTAATGATTGGTGAGGAAAGCAAGACGATTGACCTTCGAAGTGTTCTTTTTAAAGCAGGGATATCATCATTGGCGAGAAACTCCCCCTCCCCTAAGGCGGACCACACATTGACGAGACATCGATGCGACAGTGACACGACAAGAGGGGAATTCCTATTCAACAGCATTAAGACGCGCACATTACCTCTGCGAATCCTAATGCTATTGAATAGGAATTCCCCTCTTGTCGTGTCGCTGCTGAATCGATGTCTCGTCAGTGTGTCCCCCGTTTTTCTGACGAAGCTCTCTCCCTCCTACAATACCCCTTCACCCATTTCTACTGCTCTAATTTCCCCTAAAAGTGGCTTTTTTTTCTCAGAAACAGCGAAATAATATTACATACAAAGGTGATGAAAAAGAAAAAAAAAAACATTTTGTTATCTCACATTTAGGCTCGATGGGGAGTCGTTTTCCAACGGAAAAAAATCGGAATAGAACTATCAACTATCAAAAGAGGAAAAATTATCGTTGTAGACATGTTTAACTGAAAAGTGGTTATCGCTATATACAAGTTAAAAATACATTGAGTAAATAGGAATTTCACCGGGACCTCAAGGAAATATCGCTATAGACAGGTTTATCGTTATACACAGTATCGTTATACACAGGTTTCACTGTNCCCCCCACCTAAGGCGGACCACACATTGACGAGACATCGATGCGACAGTGACACGACAAGAGGGGAATTCCTATTCAACAGCATTAAGACGCGCACATTACTTCTGCGCATCCTAATGATTTTGAATAGGAATTCCCCTCTTGTCGTGTCGCTGCCTGCATCGATGTCTCGTCAGTGTGTCACCCGTTTTTCTGACGAAGCTCTCTCCCTCCTACAATACCCCTTCACCCATTTCTACTACTCTAATTTCCCCTAAAAGTGACTTTTTTTCTCAGAAACAACGAAAGAATATTACATACAAAGGAGATGAAAAAAAAAACATTTTGTTATCTCACATTTAGGCTCGATGGGGAGTCGTTTTCCAAATCGGAATAGAACTATCAACTATCAAAAGAGGAAAAATTATCGTTGTAGACATGTTTAACTGAAAAGTGGCTATCGCTATAAACAGGTTAAAAATACATTGAGTAAATAGGAATTTCACCGGGACCTCAAGGAAATTTCGCTATAGACAGGTTTATCGTTATAGACAGTATCGTTATACACAGGTTTCACTTTATCACGTACAATTTGTACTCCAATTTCAAAATCCTTTGCTAATTTGCTAGCTAATTCTCTATTATCAAGTTTTTGAAAGATTTCCAATTTTTATTTAACATTTAAAACGCTTCGTTTCACACCACCATAGCTGCCAACCTTAGGAATAAAAAAATTAGAAACACTATACGCGACAAAATTATACTCACTAATTATGAGAGCAAAACTAAAATTTAACTATAAACTGAGGACATTAATAAAAATATACATAGTTAAATAGCTTATGTAAATTAGTAAAACGAAACTATAAATACTATCTTTTGTGGAAAATTTATAATACCATTATTTTATAATTAGGAATACATTACCTTTACCTATTAATATATATGTATTCTTCTCCAATTAAAACACAAATAAATAATAGTCTGTTTAAAAAAAAATGAAAAAAAAAACTTCCAATATAAGCTCTTTTGTACTGTTTAAATATTACTACAATAAATTTTTTGTAAAAATAATTATAACATATCTCAGTAGTAGTTTAAAAATCAAAAATGTTTTTATTATTCTTGTAATATGATAAATGATACTAGAATTTAAAATTACATCCACCATAACAAGTCAAGTATGAATATGAATCATGCATTTAGACAGAAAGTTAAAAATTTTTTGCTGCAATTCAAGTAAATTAAAAAAAAAAAAAAAAAAAAAAAAAGCAAATACAAACTTAGTTTTGATTTAAACCAACATATGTTGCAAATTTTGCCTTTTTTAAGAAATTAGCATCATATTTTTGCTCATAACAAAGACCATTCAATTATAGTTACTAAAATTGACTGCAAAGTAGAGACATTCATTGAGCTTCTAAAAGCAGTTTTGTTCTTTTTCACAACACTGAAGATTCTCTCATGAAGAATTACTATGAGGGGATGTTAGTATTCTCAACATTTGTAACATTACTTAAATTAGAAATCATTGGCCCTGCACAAACTATCTTTGTGCTTTGCTAACATGGCCCACTGCAAATCAAGTCTAGCAATATTTAGAATGTCTTATGGTAAGGGTGTCATCTAATAAGCTGATCATCAGCTTCTGCACAATCAATTGCTATATTTTGTTTGTGTTGTCTGAATCTGAAGCATAACAGGGAATTTGTCAGTAAAAAATTTCGCAAAAGCAAATTTTACTCTATCTCGCTTTGATATATCTGCAACTTCAGCATGGGTTAAAATATCAGATTTAATTGGAAAGTTGCTGACAATGTAGTCACAAGCTTTACAAAAATAACTTTCCCGTGTTCAAAACAGTTTTTTTTTCCTTCCAAATTCAATTTTTCCAAATATTCGAATAAACTCTAATCAACTATTCAACCAATTACATTTAACTCTATATTGATTTTTTTATATATACATAGAAATATGTGGAAACACTAACCTGGGTTTTGTTCCCTTTCTTTCTTTTTTTCATCAATCAAGGATGAAGATCCATTTTTGTTATTGATTTGGAAGGCATAGATGGTCTTTTTTGACTTAAACTATTCATCAAATCTTCAAAAGTAGCTAAAAAATATGACACGAAAAAAATTTTGAAAACAATAGATCATTTTAGCATTACTTAAAAGGCATTTGTAACAATGACTAGTCAGTTGCTCCTATGCAATGACAAATATTTATATTACTTACAGATTTTATAAAAATAACTATTTAATTAGCATAAAAATAGTGTATTATGTAAAAATTTTAGTTACATTTTATTTTGAAAAAAATATTCTACATACAAATGGAAAGTGATTAGAAAATTACATCAAAGTAGAGGTGTGATAAATTTTAATTAATCAATAACAATTTTGTAAGTAATTGAATATCATTACGATGAGATATGATTTTCAACAAGTTCTGTTTTTTATTTATGTATATTTTAATGCATTTCTAATTTAGTTTGAAAATAATAATAAAGAACATAAAAAATGATTTTGCTTAGTACCCGAAAAAACACCTCGTATTTTTCCTTATTAGATTCGGAGATAAACTCACCTCCTCAAGGCGCAATATATAAGCACAGTAGTATGAAGTTCCTTTCAGTCTTTCCTATGATTCTTTTTTTTGACACTTTCAGTTTTTCGGCATCCTTCTGATTTTTAAAGAGCTCGTCACCGATGTAGGGGAACGATAATTAATGTATGCGAACGTTGTAAAAATTATGCACAAAATGTCAGAAAAATAATTATTAAGTAAAAGAAGTAATAATTATAAAATAATATGATAATAGATAAGAGTGATTTAGTGTAAAAATATAATTTCCTAAATGCAGATTCTTTCTCTTTTAGAGAGAGTGTTGCCACAACTTATAGCGAACGAGAAATCCAGAACATTTAGGACCGTGGTAGCTCAGTGGTTTGAGAAACGAACTCCAATCGGGAGGGAACAGGGTTCGATTTTTAGTCCGCTATGACCCACTGATCCAACAGGGGCACACTCTTGTCTTCACGACTCACCCAGGGCCCCGAGCTGGAACTGATTATTTCTCTGTTTCTCTCCTGCGATGGTCCTGTTTGTAGTTTCTGGCTTTCATTAGTTATTACATTGACCTAGTTAGCGAACATTTGAGTTTTTATACTTTTGATTATCTCTTATTTCCGTTGCGTTTATATGTATATTTATTAATTTTATTTCACTTCTTTATTTGTATTATATTTATTAAATTTTCACCCTTGTCGTGGTTGCCAAATTGACTGGTAAGGGCTTTTCGTCTTTGCTCGGTGTTATATCGGACTCGGATGGGAAGAACCCCGCAGGTGGTTTACCTTCTCTAGGTAGACACAGGGAGTCAACTTCCCAGGGTGCCCTAGTGATGTGTCCTCCCTTCAGTTTCCTCCTACTTTCTCCCATCTCTTCCCCCTTGTCATGGTTGCCAAATTAACTGGTAAGGGCTTTTTGTCTGTGTTCGATTGCCACCCTGTTGTATCGGACCCAGATGGCAAGAGACCACCCACGTGTTCGCCGTGCGTTGAGACCCGTGTCCCTGGAAAAGGGGATCCTGGTACTTGAGGTGCATCTTGGTACCCCAATGCACTGCTTCGGCCCGTGCTTCAGGTAAACGGAAGGTGCATATTGGCCTGTGTGCACCAATCGGCTAGTCAAGAACACCATCTGTTGGCTAGGTCAAGCTCGAGGTCACTTACTGGACACCTCGTTAAGGGAGGAGGCTGCTTCAGTGGTGACTTTCGGGGCCATAACTATTGGTTAGCATCGGTGTTTAAGGAACAGACCGAAAAATATGAATAAGCTTTTTTACAATTATATAATTAATGCCATCTATATCTGGTGCTTTTTTGTTGTTTAGTGTTCTAAGAAGACGTTGAAGTTCATTGTGGTTGAAGGGAGGATCTGAATTTTTATTTTGATAGCTGTATTTATTTTGTTGGATGACATTGGCATCCGGGAAAGGATTATGAAGAACATTCTTGGGCCTCTCATATTGGACAGTTACTATCATAAATCTGAGTTAAAATGGTCGGATAGGAGTTTGTTTTAAATGAGGATTTTTAATACTTTCACAGAGATATTGCCAACTATTGTATTTTGCTTTGATAATTTGTTTTTTGTATTGTGCTTTTTTTACTTGTAAATAGCTTTATATTTTTTAATTTCTTCATCAATATTTGACTTCTGAAAACGTCTTTTAATTGCTTGTAATTCTTTTTTCTGGATTGGAAGTTGTGCTGTCCACCAAGAACTGTTTGTAGGACGATTGAAAAGTTTAAGTTTGTAGGAGTTTTTGCAGCTTAAGAAAATTTTACTAATGAGATTATTTGAGAAAATGTTAAGATCCATAGGATTTTGTACGTTGTCTAGTTCAATGTTTAGATCTGGAATAAAGTTCGGGAAATGTCTTTTAAATTTACTATGATTTCCAAACTTAGTTTTAAACCTTGTGAAAGAGGAGAAGGTATACTTATTATTAATTTGTAATAAAATATATTTGTGGTCTGAATTACTTTAAGTATCTATGTTATTTGTAAGAGTAAGATCTGGAAAAGATGAAGTCAAAGATGTTACGAAAGTCTGTAATGCTGGCTGTGAATTTAAAATTTTTAAGTTGTATTATTAGATTTTATCATATCCAACATCTCCCCTTGCGTCGTTGTTGGAATAACCCCAGAAGCTGTGATGTGAATTGAAGTCTCCAAAAATTATTGTTGGATAAAGTTTTGGAGAAGATTTTGTTACTGTAGTAAATTAGATCTTTCATTAGATTCAAGTCTGTATCTGTTGGAGAATTATAAAATGAGTTTAGGATCAAGGGTGAATTATTTGAAGAGTTAATTGATATCGAAACTGAATTCTGAAGAGGGGATTGTTTATTGGGTATAAAAATGCCGGATTTTCCGTTTACTGATGAAAATAATTTCCAGGAACTGTGATATCCAATTATGGAGCCTTTTGTTCTGTCTGAAAAACAGATTATGTCAAGGTCATAATCAACAACAGTTTTTTGCAATAAAAAAAATTGCGGCTTTGCTCCTTTGAAGATTTATTTGTAATATATTAAGTTTATAAAGATCGGCAGAGATTGTGTATTGTTTAATATCATTAACGTATGGATTATCCATTAACTAAATTTAGAATTAGGAATTCACAAATAATATATACATTTTAGAAAACAATACTGAAACATTAAAAAAAAAATGAAAAAAAATTATTCAATAAGGATGAGCAAGGAAGATAAGGAAAATATGAAAGTGTTAATTGGAGAAAAAATTTGAATGAAAAATAATAAATAAAGAAGATTTTGTCTTATCAATATCATGAATACAAAAGTCAGTTAATCAAATCAATTAACAGAAGCCTAGAACAAAATTAAAGCTAATGTTAATTTTGAAAGATAAAGGGAAAACAAACAGAAAATTAGGAAAATATGTAAATAAAAAAAAATGAATTAAAATTAAGCGGATGAAAACTAATAGGTTGCAATTTTGATTATCAGGTTACTAAATGGAAAATGTCAAAGAGAATACAGAAAAATACTGAGTGTAAAGAATAGTTAAAGTTGTTGGCCTGAGCGGAGTTCCCTTAATCTGTAGAGGTAGTATGGACAAGTCGGGAAGGAGGATGCATGGTTGCAATCGTATGTTGTTCCGTTGTCTTTGTTTGAGTCACGGCATTTTATGCAATACTCTTCCTAGGCGGAGCACTGTTCGTACGTGTGATTGTCTGTGCCACATCGTTCACAAGTGCAGTTGTTTTAGGAGCATTGACTTTGATGGTGCCCGATGCCTTGGCAGTTGCGGCATCTGGACCAGTCTTTTTTTAATGAAGATAGCTTTGGACTCTATAAAAGGGTTATAATAATGCTAGGCGACTTAATTAAAAAAAAAAACAATTTTATTAAAGGATGTGGCAATGGTTGGTTCATTGCGCTGCAGTTACATACACAACTACTAAATCTACAAATAAAATTTTTTCCCTTGCACATACGCCCTCTGGCGTCACTTATCGTGATTGGATTTAACAGTTATTGGAAAAAAAAGTAGTTTTAACATTTATTTTTTCATTCCTCACTTTTATTTCATTATGAAACAAGAAATCAATGTATTTATTTTTTCACTCTTAAGTAGTAATTTATTAGTAAATTCATTTGAAATCAGACAAGTTTCACTACCAGAATCCAGTTACGCTTTACACATCTACCATTCTGAATATTAATCCTTTACGGGAATTAATGCAGTACATAATAAGCATTTGTTTTTAAAACACGCGGTCGTCACAATTTGAGTCGTGTCTACTCTCGGAATGAATGATTCAGCACTTACATTAAACGCGGTTGTTTGTGATTATTTTGATCGTTAATTGGCGCCACATTGGAAGTGGACGAATTGTTTTTAATCTCTCTCGTATAGTGTAAAATTTTGTAATGAGTCTTTTTACATAGAAAGCAGTTTCTCATTCTGCATATATAAACTTCACATCTGGAAGAAAAGCTATTAAATCAAAGTCTATTATTTTTTACAAACTCTACTCTATCGTGTACAAATATTCTTTTGAACTGTGGGCAAAATTGTAAAGCGTGAGACTCATTGTTTTTATATAATACACAGTTATCATTTTTTATTTCAGATAAAAATACATTTGTTGCTCCTCTTTGTTCACTCGAATTATTTACTCTGTTTAGTTTATTAAATTCGTGACGCTTAGTATTTCCACTGAAAGATTTCAAAAATGTTTTTTTTTTGTTTTTGCCTTTCGAAGATAAATAAATATCACACTCACGCCCTAGTTCATGTGGTTTAAAATACTTTTCTCCCTGTTTTACACTAATATGAGTCATCAATTCTCTATCGAGAGTACTCATTATTTTATCCGATACTATTAACTTACAGACGGATTTAAAATCATTTACGTAATTTACAATAATATTCAAACGTCGCATTTAACCTCGACGCAAATTGTGCATAATTCTCTGAACTTATTTTTTTTTTGTGCTCTTTGGAATTTATTAAACTATTCTTTTATTACTAAATCTTTGAGTGTATTGTAATTAGTTAACTCTTCTTCGGAAATGTGAACAATTAAATTGTTAGCTCTCTCACCTAAAATATTTAATAGAATTTCGCATTTAAATTTTTCGGGAACTTTTTTTTTTCAATGTTTTTTCCAGCGACTGAAAAAATAAATTATACGATTCTACTCGTGAGGGCATTGGTATAGTTAAGGTTTTTACCGATTTTAATAAAGTTTCGATATTAATATTATTCGGATTCTCAGAAATTCTTTTGCGAGTACGGAATTATGCGGTAACTCTTTTTAAACATTAGTTAGCTCTAATTGTGCTAATTTATTTCGCCCAAATTCTAATTTAGATTCACTATCGGACTTTTTATTTTTTACTTCCTCTATAGCATAATCCAGTACGCATATAAATAGCCTTTTATCTGTTTTATAAACTTCGCTGTTTTCAATTAAATTCTTAAATCGGCAATTTTTGCACCCTCCGGTACAGTTAAGTTTAACTCTTCTGCGAAGAGTTTTAACTAGTCTTTCTTTAATTTAGTCAAAGACATGTTTATAGTTTAATTCAACTAAATATAAATTTATCTTTCACCAACCTTCTCAGATCGCTGTTAGACGCACTTAGTTTCAGTTTCGATTCTCAATCGGCAACGTAAACATTTCACTGAATCTTTTGCCCTAATTTTTGCATAATTTTCATAAAATTAACTCGTCCATAGATCGCTTACTCTCTCAGATTAGAATAAGGACCATGTTATTTCTCTTAAAAAGATAGGACTCAAAACACATATTGACGCAGTGGACTGTTATTTTATTTGCTTCACACACTTGCCTCTTTCGAGGTTGTTAATACTCTCACTAGTTTCCGTTGCTTACGCAGAGGGTGCTGCTCGCATACAAAACTGAACAAGCATAACTCAATGTAAGAACATTACATGCATATTTAAAATACGTTGCATTAAAAAAAAGTAACAACAATTGTCTCAATAATATTTACAGAAAACATTTCTTTAAAGTCGGAAAGACAGCTTCTTTCCAAAATTTCACACCGTCATGAATAAGTATTTCTATAAAGTTGGAATCATATTCCACTTCCTCGATGCTTGTTCAATCTAATGTTCCGTTAGTGTTTGGAAGGATGTGGAAGATACCAGACATTTTATAACTATAACTTAGTTTATTTCCTTCACAAACAACTAAAATACTAAAAAAAGGTTTTACAAAATAAAGTCTATCATCAGAGTAAGTGGGAGGACATCAGTAATTCGGGACAAGGTGGCTTAGGTCCAGCACACATCTCCGGGTGAGAGCTGAAGTCGAAGTGGCATACTGATCGTCGGTGAGCTGGTTTTTATCCTTCTTGAGTGCAGGCGCGCGCA